CAAGTGTTGTGGAGGCATTTATTTATTTATTTATTTTTTCCCCACGATACGGAGGCATTTAAACATACCCAAAGCCATATCTCAGTTCTGGGAAGGGGAGCTGCCCTGACGATGGCCCATGACACCTGAGAAGGGTCACTGGGCTCTGCAAGATGTAAAGAAGGGACAGATACCAAAGAGGCGAACTCAAAGGTCGTGGTCCCCCACTTGTGTCCGGTCTGTGCTAATGTCTGCCCCCCTCGCTGCTCTGGGCTGGCTTACTCCTTTTACAACTGGTCGCCAGCTGTGGGCTCTGAGGTCAACTCCAGGCCCTCCGTGTCCCTGTTCCTTGTGGATCCTCTGGCCACATCCCCTGCTCCCCTCCTTGTTCACCCACGTGGGCCCTCTTCTCACTCTCTACTCCCCACCCAGGGAATCCACCTCTTTTTCTCGCCCCCCTCATCCCTTTCATCCATTAAAGGCAAACACTTAGTCCTTCTGAATATTTCCAAAGCATCACACATCAAAACACTTGATATTTAAACTGAAGTTACTTAAATGCACTAACGGTGTGATGCTCGTGGCTATTCCCTTATTAAGTCATCACATTCTGACTCTTTGCACCGACTCCAAACTGCCCAACAGAGTAATTGACCAATCAAGCGTTAGACCACAGTTGGCAACGAAAGGCGAGGTGACATGCCCGTTTTACGTTCTCCTCTTTCCTGTGATCGCAGTGGTGAATATGCGTTGGCTGAATACACAGAAGTGAAAACTGTCACCATCAAACTTGATGACAAGAGCCCCTGAAGGAAAGGTGGGCTCCTTCCTCAAACCTTTGACAGCTGAATGTGGCAGATGGAACTCTGCCGAAGAACACCTGCATTTCCCGCCTCCCCGGGTTACTCTGCTCTGGAGACTTTAAATCTACTGGATTTGAACGATTTCAGTTTTCCTCTCACACTCCTGTTTCATTGACCAATATGTTGTGTATGTGGCATTGAAGTCCTGCCTGGGGATGGAGCTAGGGGCCACTTCCGTTTTTCCCTTCCAACCAGGTCCCCCAGGGACAGTGAAGAGGCTCAGGGCGAGGCCAACAGGAAGTGGTATTTGAAGTCTCCAGCGGTCACTTAAAAATGTTTTGCCGACTCTGACTCCAATAAGAACTTGGAAAAAAGCCCGGCTTGTTCTGCAAACAGGGCCCTGCATCTGTGGCCTCCTCGGGGTTACCTGCCCACAGAACAAGCCCCTCCTACCAGTTAGTGGGAAAGAAACAGGACTAAGTTCAAAACAAAACAAAAACAGGATTGTGAGGATCCAGTGTGGGGAGCTTTGGGGAAGCAAGTACCATGGAAAGGTACTGAAGGACTTGGGTGTGAAAGGGCGTGGGTCTTCAAGGACTGCTTCTTGACATTGACCACAGGACTCAGCTTAAAACCAAAACTCCTTTTGGAATATGACCGAATCAACGGCCAGCTTGCTTATCTAAAACTATGTCACGGTCTACCTTAACCAAGGCACTTTCTCAGGCAGAGAACATCCCTAGTGTTTCCATCACTGCTGAGGACCCGGTACTCTGACATGACAACAGCTTGGCAACTGCGTTTTACAAACCAGAGCCATAATTCGCTTTTACAAATTATGAATTTCTACCACTTGCATTAATGGTTTCTGATCAGCCTGTGTAGCTCTTTTTGTCTCCAGTTTGGTTATCTATTTTAGATTAGCAAAACATACGCAACTGGAAAGGCTGTTGTTTTAATACAGCTTGGTTTTTTAAAGTCCTATTTTGATGTCAATGATTAATTAACAAATAACACCCAGACTCCATGGAAGATCTGGGTCTCCTACTAAAGTGGCCTGAGTACTGCACTAACATGTTGTGAATTTTTCTTTTCCTCTTTATATGTGCAAACGCTGTGCAATCCCAAGTTTTAAAGTGCTCCCCTGATCACGCTTTTAAAAAACAAAACCAAACGTAATTGCGTTATTTGGATACTTTCATTGTTATTAACTAGTTACTTTTCTGATGGTGCTTATATTTGGGAATTAAATTATGTTTATAGGATTAAATTGGGGGAGGGCAATAATAAAATAAACATCAAAACCAGTGTATGGATGAAAGAAAGTCCTACATGGAATGGGGTTGTCATTCTTGTCAGAAATAGGCAATATGCAATTCACCTTCTCTACATCAGTTAACACTTATCACTTAAACTGTCGGCTAAGTCAGGAGTTGACTTCATACACTGAATTTTCGGGATTTTATCTCAAGCAACTATAGACATTAACCTTGATAGTAATAAATACATTAGAGGGTTCTTATTCTCTCATTGTACAATGCTGCCTTTAATATGAAATGCTACATTATTTATAACTGGTATAGTTAATGTATCTTTTTATAGTTGTAAGTAAACAGAGGTGGTATATTTAACCTTCTGTAATATACTGTATTTAGAAATGGAAATCTATATAGTATTAGATTTCACTTCTTTTAAGGTTTATTCCTGTGGTATGGTTTCAAAAAAAAAATCTATTGGCCTCGGAATTCTGACCCCAACTACAGATCGCGTCTGGCAATACAACAATGATAAAATAAAATCGGATATTTGACAAACATTACGTTTTTTCACTTAACGATGAAACTCGTTGTAATTCTGTGGCTGACCTTTCTCTTTCTCAGAGCTTCTGTACAAAATGGCTTGTAATAAAGCAGTATTGATAGCTGAGGATTCAAATTCAGCATTTAGTCTGAGCGTGAAACCCACTGGTTTGAAGGTTGAGCAGGCAGGGAGCTCGGCCTCAGAGGCTCCGCATCTTAGTTGGTGAAGCGTAAGCTGTCACCTAAGCTGCCCGAGTGTCCTTTTACTAGTGAGCGGGTGAGTCCGGAAAATGGTGGGGAGGATTGCACAGGGTTTTAGGGAAAATATTGCATCCTGCTATTGTGTGCACACGTTTCCATTTTTGTCACAGGGATCTAGGTGTTTGGGTTTAGCCTACCTTAAGTTTCTAAGAAGCCTCAATCACCAAGCCGTGAGCTGACGCTGAGGTTGGATCAAGAATATCCCTTGTACTTGGTTAGGTTCATCGAGTTGCACCTGTGTATTTGATGTTAATCATCCATGATCACTCTGACTATGGGGCAGCGAGGTGCCATCTTTTAAGAGAACACGTAAAGGAGGCTTGGATCAGATCTCTCTTAATGTATGCACTTACGTATGTACTTATTTATTTAGAAAACTTTCATTTCTCAATCTAAATGTGAGCAGAACATTCTAGGAAAATGGCCTTTTCCTTCAATTGGTTTACTCTCTGAAGGGAACCATTCTGGGGACACAGACTGGCTGTCATGCATGTGCATGTGCACGCGTGCACCTGTGTGCTTGTGGTGGTGGGGGGCACAGGAGGTGGGCACATTCTCTAACAGTGGACCTTTTTGAATGCCTTAGCTTTTCCCTATAATGGACAAAGAATTTTTACTGTCCTTGCTCCTACATATATCTGACTTGAGCTTAAACGTGGATGATAAGGGATTTTTTAATAAAGCGTCAGGGAAGAATGTCTGAGGAAACTAAGTTCCCAGCTGAAGAAATGACTAGAAGGCAGTGGGCGTGGGGTGGGAGGGTAGCAATCAGCCACTAGGCCTTCAGAAGGCAGAAATGTTAGGTTGAGGAGGTAGCTTCCAGTTGATTCCACCTTAGAAGGGGTCATTCCAACATGAGATGCTGAGAACCTGGGTACGCAGAGCAAAAGCTAGAGGACCACGGGTGGGGGAGGCTGGTGGGGGGGGGGCGAGTGGGGGGCAAGAAGCAGCAGGAAGAGATCTTAACTGACCTGTAATAACCTTCCCATGCAAACCTGTGATTAACTAATGCCTAATGAATAGAGTTAAATGTTGGGATGTAACCAGCTCAAAACAGTCCACTCGGCTGTTTTTTTACATTGGAGACATTCCCTAGCCTATTCCCAAACTCATGTAAAAGGGAAGCTGAGTTGCCCCAGCCTCATTGGCCAGAGGAGCTCAGCGTCCGCCCGGGCACTGGGTTGCTGTTCCTCACGGTGCCGCTAGATGGCGCGGCCGCGCTCCCTGGAGGCGCCGCGCCGCGCCGCGATTGCCCCGCTCACTCAGCACTGCGACGCCACGCCCTGCGAATTATTAGGGACTTTTCGGTAGCAATCACACTGCTGCCTTTTGAGTACTGGAATTAGGGCCGAAGTATTGAGGACAGGATTGCAAAACCGCACCCACCCTTTTGCAAGGGCGTTCCGTGGCGGGAGAGCTGGAGGCCTCTTGGGAGCAAAGCAAAGCCGCCCGGTGGTGCCCTCGCCGAGGGGCCACTGCTCAGAGCGCCCGCGAGGTCGTGCGGGGGCCCTGCGTCTGCCGGGCCTTTGTGAGATGGCAGTGAGGGTGGTGGGCATTTGTCTCCGTCTTGCGCTAAATCTGGGAAGGTTCCAGTCCTAACATTACGTGAGAAGAGTCCAGTGCGCGGGTCCTGCCAGGCTGCAGAACCATCTGCTTTTTTCTGAGCAGGCTTCTCTTCTGGGGTTGGCACGTGGAGCCAGATCTGATGGCTGCCTGCGGCATGGACGTGCGTCCCTATGATCTGCCTTCGGATAATGGCCTCAATGGCGTGATGAACGTACTTACCTGAAGTCGAAACATGATCAATTGCCAACATTCCGCCCTGGGTTATCTACTCCCCCGCCCAAAACACCCCACACAATTTAAGATGATTCACCAAATAGTGACATCTCTCTATATACATCCATAATTAAATAACTTCATGTGACGGGAGGGGCACAGTTTGCAAAATACGAAAGCTTTACAAACATCTGTTTCTATACTGCCCTATACGGAATCGTACATAAATGAATATTCCCTGATTTTTAAATATTTACTGCGAGTCTACGCCTAATACGAGTCAGAGGTTAATCGTTGGATTTTGCCCGCCGAGCAGAGCCGAGGGGCAGTGAAAGCTGGGCTGAGCTGAGAACCGACCAATCTTGTCGCCGCGCCTGCCCCGCGGGGACAGAGCAGGGTACCCAAACCTGGAGGAGACCTCGCGCTACAAGGGCTCACGGGCCCCGGCTTCCCCGAGGCGGGCGCGGTGCCTCTGGGCACCTCCGGCTTTCGGCTAGGGAAACTGAGGCGGGCCACCACAGGGATCCCCGCCCCCCTCCCCGCGCCCGTCGCCGGTCGGAGCAGCCGCGGCCGATCCTCGCCCTGCGCGCTCTCCGCGCCGCCCGCCCGCGGGCCGCAGGATTGAGGAAGTGAGGCTGGGCCCGGCCCGGCCCCGGCGCGCGCGGCCGGAGGCGCAGGGGGCGGAGGGCAGGGGGACGGCCAGGCCCCGGCCCGCTGGAGTCCGCCGCGCCCGGCCCCGCGCGCCCGGCCCCGCGTCCCAGGCGCCCCGGGCCCTGCGCCGCCGCCGCCGCCGCAGGTAAGCGCCCGTCCGGTCCGGCCCGCGCCCCGCCTGGGGGCCTGGCTGCCTCCAGCGCCAGGTCTCGGGGAGCCCCGGCGCCCCCCCCGCAGCCCACGCCCGCGCTCCGGGCGGCCGCGTGCTCCCCCGAGGTGGCCCTTGCCCGGTGGGGTGGGGGGAGCACCGAGGGCGCGGGCGGCCCCCGTCTCGCGGCCCCGCGGCCTCCCCGGCCCGCCGAGTGGGGGAGGGTGCGGGGCCCCAGAGGGCCACCCCCGAAACCCCGCGCGGGCCGGGGTCGGAGCCGGGGGAGCAGGGGAGAAAAACAAAAGTCGGGAAGATCCACCAGGGCGTCCACAGGTTTCCTTCAGCCCGGCGGGGGGCGAGTGTGAGCGCGCCAGTGTGCGGGTGAGCGTGAGTGCGTGTGTGCCTGGGGAGGTACTGCCCGGGATCTCTGGCCTCCGCGGGGGTGGGGGGCTGCTTCTGAGGGGTGCCGAGGGCGCCTGCACACCCCACCCCACCCCCGCAAAGCCTGGGCCGGGCTTCTGCCCACCGGATGCGGCTCTGGCCAGGTCCCGGTAAAGCCCGCCATCTCTGCCACCTTGCCTGGCAGGGGTGCAGAGATGAGTGAGGTCCGGGACGGGGCAAGGAGGGGAGCCTGGGAAGGCTGGAGGCCAGAGGGAGATGGTGAGGGAGAATCGGGGGACCTCTGGCCAGCCCAGCCTGTCCCTGCACACTTGGAGGCCAGGAAGTTTTCTCCCCAGACACATCAGCCGGGGTCAGAGAGGTAGAGAAAACAGGAGCCTGCGGTTAAGTTTTTAGCAAGGCTCTCACTGAATACCCTCTTTTTAGAGTTTGCAAGCCACTCAGCATTGTGACAAAGTGCCCAGACATTAAAGGGACACCTAGAAATAGGCATGATTTTGGAAAACATTAACATTAAATGCCTCTTGTCATTTGACTACTTATTTTTGCTTCTGTCCCTGAAGAATAAAAAAAGTTAAAAACATACAAACCTCACACCTGACTTGTCCCTAAAGGAGGTTTTGGGGTCAGCGAAACGTTCCTTCCCCCAAGCTTCCACATCTCAGGGAATAGGCCCATGGTCAACTCAGTTGCTGGGAATTTTCCTCTATCCCATACCCTCATCCCTTGAATTCAGTCTGTTAGCAAGTTCTGTTGGGCTTACCTGTGTGTCTGGGTCCAACCCTTCTTTCTCACAGTCTCCATCCTAGTCCAAGGTACCAGTATCCATTTCCGGTATGATTACAATCCTTCCCTCTCCACTCTCCAGTTCTTTATTTGACAGCCAGAGTGATTTTTTTTTAAAATAGGTAAATCAGAATGGGTCAGTCCTCTGCTTAGAACTCTGCAATAATTTCTCCTTGTGATTGGCATGAAATCCAGGACACCTCCTTTCCCTCGGTTGATATGGGGTCTGGCATCATCAACCAGCTGGCCAGTGCCCCTGCCACCCCCACCCCCCGCCACTGGCCACCCTGGCCCATCTTGCTCTCCAGCATGTGGTCTCTGCAGTGTTGACCCCTGATTCTTTTTTTTTTTTTTGAGAGAAAGAATGAGAGAGAGAGCACATGAGAGGGGGGAGGGTCAGGGAGAAGCAGACTCCCTGCCGAGCAGGGAGCCCGATGCGGGACTCGATCCAGGGACTCCAGGATCATGACCTGAGCCGAAGGCAGTCGCCCAACCAACTGAGCCACCCAGGCGCCCGACCCCTGATTCTTCACATGGCCAGCCACCCCCCCTCTAAGCCCAGCCTCTTTCTCACATCCCTCGCTCACTCTCCTTCTGGAGTCTCCAATGGTATTATGGTCCCTCTTCATTGATTTGCTCTCTCCTTTAATTGCCTGGCAGTCTCGACTGGAGCTCCAGGGTCCGGAGACCATTCCTAGGCACCAGCATTGCTCACTGCTGCATCTTCACTCCCAGAACTAAGAGGTGCCTAGTACACACTGGCACAGGGATAGAATGGCTAATGGACAGTCGTAACTTGTTTCTGGTTTCAGACTCGTGAAGGGCTTCTGTTCCCAGACCCCTGGGTGTTCATCTGGGACTGAGACCTGCACATCTCTCTTGTCTGCAGCTCCTCGATATTTTGATGTCCATGCATCCATTAAACACATTTTGTAGACAAGCCAGTACCTGATCAGGGGAGGCTAGTAGTACCAAAGGGATATCGAGGACTGTGGATCAACCATCTCTACCATGCTTTTCATTCAAAAAATTACTGGAGAAGATGAGCGTGGCTAACATGCTTCATTTGCAAGCGTCTTCCAGCCCTTTGGTACTGGCAATCCCTTCCAAGCCTCTTGAAAAGAGAGGTGAGCAGATCCTGGGTCTCCTATATTTCTCCTCTGTCAGAAACTTTGTAGCAAGCACTTACTTAACTGCGCCTTCCCCACCAGCTGTAAGTTTCATGAACTTGTGGAGTTCAGTCCTCATAGGAGGGGCCCAATAGAAACATTTGCGAGTGAATGTCAGGTTCCCCTTTTTTTTAATTTTTCATTAAGTATTCAGGTTTATTCATTAATGCAAGTATACAGAGTTGGCAAACGAAAAATGGGTGAGGTTTTAAAAGGTATTAAAATAATCATGACAGAAAACCTCTTGAAGTCCTCTTAAGGATGTATCCACCGTAATGAAAACAAGACATGTAACTTGCAACCAGGATTTGTTGCATTGGTCTGAACCCAAAAGAAGCCCGAGGAAGCAAAGATCCGTTGGAGGGCAAAGATTAAGCAAAAGTTGAGTCACCTCATTTTAAAACTTCTACCTTAGAGTCTCAGCCAACATACAAATTACAATTGAAAAACTGCGCCAGTCGTAAAATCCTCCATTGGTAAAAGAGATTTTCAAAAGGAAACTGAAAATGAAAAGGGGAACAAAAGTGCTGGGCAAGGGTTGGCCTAAAATATTTTAAAGATTTTTTTTTTTTTTTAACTTAAAAGCATTCTATGGGGGGCGCCTGGGTGGCTCAGTCGTTAAGCGTCTGCCTTCGGCTCAGGTCATGATCCCAGGGTCCTGGGATCGAGCCCCGCGTCGGGCTCCCTGCTCCGCGGGAAGCCTGTTTCTCCCTCGCCCTCTCCCCCTGCTTGTGATCCTGCTCTCACTGTGTCTCTCTCTGTCAAATAAATAAATAAAATCTTTTGGGGGAAAAAAAAAAAGCATTCTATGGTAAGACACTTCTGTTTTCAGAAGGAACGTCTACTAGCATTTGGATTTTTTTAAGGGGTTGTTAGGTAGATGTGGTAGCTGATTTTAGGAGGTGTTTTAAAAGCAGATGGCCACCGTGCTCCTTGGTTTCTGAATGTTACTGTAGGATTTGGAGCCTTTAGTTTAAAACAGAGATGGTTTTGCTGCTTTTCCGTGTACTTGTTTCAAGCTGGTTTTCCTAATCAGATTTTACAATTTAGAGAGCTCTGATGGTCTCCTAAATTTTGTCCAGATTGATCATTCCTCCTTGGATTGTTCAGGCTCCCATACTCCAAACACAGGTTTTTCTATGTATGGTTTGCTGAAACCTCTCACTCTTTAGTTCAGAAAGGTGGGGGGTCGTAATGGACATGGCCTCTGGGGGAGGGGTTTCCTAGCTCCTTGACCTTCCCCTGCCTATAGGAGTACAGCCTACCTGGGCCTGATTTCCAGGATCTAAGATGAGAAAGTTCCAGTGCTCTCCCAGCCTTATTCTGTAGCTTGCTCAGTGCCCACATTGTTCAGGGCACCTTCTAAAACCTGCTCGGTGGGGAGACAGTGTGTCTGCCCTCCAGCATTGATACTCTGAGCTTGTTAATCAGTCTCCCAGGCCTCCCACTGGTACCGTAGGTGAGAACCACCTCTGGCCCCTATTATAGAAAGTGACTGCGGAAAATTTACCTTATTTCAAATCACACAGCAACCCTGCGAGGTCGTCTGTGTGAGAGGGTGCATGTCTATTTTTAACAGATGGGAAAACTGAGACACACGTAAGTTTCGGCTTGAGGTCACACTGCTGACATGTGATAGAGACAGGCCAAGCCTTTGATGTCCAGACTGTGCTTTTTTCCTTTCCGTATTGTCTTGGGCATGATTTACATGACCTTGATTTTTTTTTTTTTGTATCACTCTCCATTTCAGTTATCTGTCTCAGAGGATAGTTGCTAATGACCCTGTACTTAGTTATAGTATAGACTCTCTGCAAACACTAGTAGAAACACATGCATTTCACATAGTAATCCCCTCCCATTGTGCGATTTATCCCGTGCCAGGCCTGAGCTGGACCTGGGTCTTGCCCTCAAGGCAGTTCTGGAAATTTAATCATCATAGCAGGATGGGTACCTGTGTTGGGGACCCCCTGCCCCAGGCTCAGTGGGAGCCCGGCATAAGAGAGCAACACCCTGGTTCAGCAGTTATCACAGCCTTGTTTGTTTGGGGAGATAAATCTTAATCTAACTCAGAGTTTCTCCAGATGATTGGAACTGTTCGGGCCAGATAATTCTCTGTTGTGGGTGGCTGCTCTGTGTATTGTAGGATGTTCAGTAATGAACCTGACCTCTACCCGCTAGATACCTGTAGAACCCCAGACCCCAAGCGGTGACAACCAGAAATGCCTTCAGCCATGGCCAGATGTACCCAGGCAGGCAGAATGTGTGGGGCTCCTTCCTGTCATCCCCCAGGGCTCAGACGGACTTGTCTTCATAACCAGTACCAACGCCTTCCAGACCCCTTCTCTTCGGGATGGTCGCCTGCTTGCTTCTTTGCGATTATAATCTTGCCTCTGGGCTTCCAGAAGACTTTGTCCTGGGCAAAGGGAAGGCCTTATATCGTGATCAGTTATTAGGTGTGTCTGCCCCACCCTAGCTTTGAGTGTGAGCCTCTGAAAGCAGAAACCTCATTTAGTTGTATTGGTGTCGCTGGGCAACAGACAACGTTTATGTGTTGATTGAACAATGAACCCTTTACCAGTGGGTGTCTGCAATTGTTGGGATTGCTTCGAGACTGGTTTTTTGTTTTTGTTTCAGAGAGAGCGAGCGAGAGAAGGGGAGCATGCACAGGGACGAGGGGCGGAGGGAGAGGAAAAGAGAATTTTAAGCAGGCTCCATACCCACTGCGGAGCCCAGTGTGGGGCTCGATCTCACAACCCTGAGATCATGACCTGAGCCAGAGTTAAGAGTCGGACGCTTAACTGACTGAGCTACCCAGGCACCCCTCGAGACTGTTTTTTAAGTAGACATGACCCATGGGGTGCAAGGTGAGGTGGGGGGAGCTCTGTCCTTTCACTGCCCCCACCAGACTGGGCGTGGTTAGACAGATGGAATGTGAGGAGGAATGTTGCCCAGGAGAAGAATACCGAGGTGCAATATATAAATAATAAATGTATGCAAGGGTACAGGAAGGGACTTGACAATTAAGAACACACTTTCTGATTTTATGATGTTTTTCAGCACCAGAACGAGACAGCTTTCTGCTCAGCCATGACTGTGTGTCTGTGCCTTCGTCCATCCTCTGGGGAGCGGTGGCGGCGGTGACCCCGGCCGGGACTGACTTGGAGAGCAGCCACCCAAGAGTCGATGGCTGGCATGTCTCGGCGACTGCCCAGCATGTACTGGTGTGTGGGGCCAGAGGGCTCAGCTGTGTGTCCGGAACGTGCCATGGAGACCCGTAATGGTAAGAGCAGGGCCAGCCTGGCACGCTGGGCATCACCTGCCGTCCTGTGGGGAGTCCAGGACAAAGGGTTTTTGACGGAAGGTTAAAAATGCCAATTACTTGGTGAAAGTCTCACTATAAAGTATATCTTGGGATTCTCACTTAAATTCTAAACATCAAGGGGCTGGGGGACAAAATTTATTATGGAGGCAAAGATCTTAAGAATCAGGGCATTACTTCATGTTGGTTAAAAAGATTTTTTAATGGGGATTTGGTTTTGTTTTCTCATGATAAAAATAATACATGTTTGTTAAAGAAAAATTGAAAAAAGGAAAAAGAAAAAGAGAGAGAAGTAGGGGAAAAGAAATCTCCAGGAGTCCCCCTGGCCTAAACACAGCACTGCTAATAGCTTGGTCTGTTCTCATCCAGTCTGCTTCTCTAGGCTTCAGGGATTTTGTTTTAATTTTATAGTGTGTATACAGTTTAGTATCCTACTGTTTTCTCCTAACTTTGCCAGTCACCTAGCTTGTATGATCATCTTATGTGGGAACACTGTATAAAGTGATCGACCTAGTCCTGGCTCCCCTGTTGGATGTGTGGGAATGTTCGGGTTGCTTCTAGTTGCTGACTCTTACCGAGAACATCCCATTCCCATCTTTTTATACATGGTTTTGAGACTGTTTCCATAAAATATATTTATAGAAGTGGGATTATTAGGTTTGAACACTTTTAAGCCTCTTTCTATGTATTGGCAGGTTTCCGCTAGAGTTGTACCACTTTTAACACAAGTTAAGAGGTTGGCATTGACACTGTTGTTAACGATAAATATTTGTTAAGCCCTGAGTGCATACCAGGCACTGGATTCAGTGCTTTGGGAAATCATCTCATTTAATCCTCACAACGACCTAGAAAATGGTCACTTATCCCCACTTTATAGCTGAGGAACTTGAGAGTAAAAGATACGTAGAAACTCGGTGAAGGTCAAAAATTTGTAAATGGCAGAACTGCTATTTGAACCCTGTCTTCACTCTAGAATTCTCGCCCATAGAGTCTAGGCCATCGTGTGGGGTTTGAGAGGGCCCGTATGTTGTGTTTGAGAGGGCCAGGGTGTTTGTACCCTCCATGAAGTTAGCGACGCAGCGTTGTACCTGGCTCAGCAGACACTTTGTTCAGTAACTTGCGTGTCTCTCTCCGCTGAAGATGTCCCAAAGCTAATTACGGTGATGTTTCTGGAAGATTGCTTTGCACGTAAATCAAATTATGAAATGGGAAAAGAATTCATTTCTCGACATTGCCCAGCACTAAACGTTCTCAGAACGTTCGACTTGCATCTCTCGAAAAGGTATTTCTCTCTTAACAGACATATGTCTGTTTTCTATTACTCATTAGAAAGGCTTTGCCTTATTAGCCTGAGATCAAGGTGACCTGTAGTAGAACATGTTATCCAGTTTTTGAGTAGTACATCTACTTTCCAGTCCTTTCCAGCTCCATTATTCCACCTGTCTCTCCTCTTAGCGATCCTGAGGAATGAGGGTAGAATGGCGATGTTGGGGCTCACTGGGTGGGTGCTTGTGTCAGATGAAAAGGCCCCAGAGGGGATCTGCCCTGTCCCCTTCCTGGTCAAGAGTTGGTGATCTAAATGAGTAGGTCTCTACCCTGGCCCCCAGAAACACTGGGGTGTCTATGTCTACCAATGCCAGGCACCCCCTAGGCCCATTGGAACAGCATTTTGGGGGAAGGGCAGGCATGGGCATTTTTAAAAACTTCTCCACCCCCTTCCCATGATTCTAATGTGCAGCTGGGGCTGAGAATCAACTGGTCTAAAATGTTTGGGTCCCCTAGAACAGAACTTCCTAAATTGCAATATATACTCAAGCCCCCTGGGGATCTTGATGAAATGCAGATTCTCACTGTGTAGGTCCGGGGACACCGAGATTCCGTGTTTCTAATAGGCTCCCAGGTCACGCTGATGTTCTGGTCTACCCACAGAGTTGCAAGGCTGAGATGATGGCTTTCTGAGGGGCCCGGGGATCCCCACCGAGTCTTACAGATCCTTGGGAGCTGGGCCAATGGACAATGAACAGACCTGTTACCTCTGGCTCCAGGTTAAGGAGTCACTGCTGACTGCATGTTAGCTAGAGTGATAAACGTGAATGTCAATGACATTCTCCCCCGCCACCCCCACCCGCCCGCCAGCGGCAGAGATGCAAGTGAAGAAAGCAGAAACACACCAGGTCTCTTAAGGTCGAGGCCCAGAATGGCATCCTGTTGCCCTTGGCCAAAGCAAGTCACATGGGGGCCCCGCAGATGAAGAGCTCCATCCACGAGGAGGCCACGCCCAGGCTGTGGATGCAGACAGAGGTGAAGGACTGGTGCCTGTCCTTCCATCTGCCATGATGGGAGTTAGTGGGCTTCAGCCCTTTGAAAAACATAATGTGTCATATTTATATATTGTTATTTATTTGTTTAAGCGGCCTGCATGAATTCCTACCTGGAGCATATGTAGCAGTTAACAGTGGAGTTGCTTTGATGGGCAGTCGTGAGAGGTAGGGTTGGTGAGTCCCACCCGCTGGCCTTCACCTTGACCCCAAAGCTCTGCAGGCCCAATTTTAGAAACATCGCATGTTTGGATTTTATTTTCACAAAATACAAATCTGCACACCAAGACCACAGCCTGGGGGCAGGGCACATTCAGAGGGTAACACAGTCACATGGAGATTACAACCACTGCTCTTTGCTCATGCGTAGGCTTTATGTTTTCTTCTTTTTTTTTTTTAAAGATTTTATTTATTTATTTGACAGAGAGAGACACAGCGAGAGAGGGAACACAAGCAGGGGAAGTGGGAGAGGGAGAAGCAGGCTTCCCGCGGAGCAGGGAGCCCGATGCGGGGCTCGATCCCAGGACCCTGTGACCATGACCTGAGCCGAAGGCAGACGCTTAACGACTGAGCCACCCAGGCGCCCCGGCTTTATGTTTTTTACACTGAGCATGTGTTCCTTTTTTGTTTTGTTTTGTTTTGCATTACATTTGCAACCGGAAGAATAACACTGCAATTTATTTTTAACAGTGTTGCCTCTTTAAATACCGATGTTTGGTGATCTAACCGGCACATCTCAGTGCTCACTTCTAAGGCCAGCGTTGCTCCGACTGGCCTCTTATCTCCTCATTTCTTTCTGGAACCAATGGAGGTATATCTGCACCCACCATCCGGGCTGTGACCCCAGCAGATGAGCCAGATTTGTTCTGCTCACCTTCTCCCCAGACCTCCTGGGTTCCCAGGGAGCCCTGCTTCCCCTCCCGCCACCCCCATCCACCCACCTCACCCCAGGGAAGCTTAGCACACACCCAACGCCCAGCATCACCAAAGGAAAATTGACTGCCAGGAAGTAAACCGATAAGACTCAAATTATAGTCAATGTAGGAACAGCTCTCTCTCACTTTTAGAAGCTCTTTCTTTTTAACAATGCTTGGAAGACCGCATGCTTTGGAAACGATAAAGTTATTATTGGGCTTCCGAACATATTTAGAAAAAGATCCAAACGTTAATGAAAATCAGGGAAGAACTCATGTTTTACTTTGGGGTTTTGGGGTGGTGGCATTTTGTTTGCGTACCGATGCGTCCTAGGGGTGTTTCTCGCGCCCAAACCTGTTTTGCTCGGATAACTCACCTTGTGCGTGCTTAGAATGGCTAGCCCTTCCAGAGCCCACGAAGGTGCAAGCACTTCACCAGTTGCCGGTGGGGCCAGGGGGTCTGGGTGGGCCTGTCCTGTGTTTGTGTGGCACAGTTGTGTCCCAGGAAGGCACCGTGCAACCTTATTGGCACCATCAGCAGTCAGCTGGCCTGTGGTGCAAGAGGAACATTTAGAAAGCTTGGATGAGCGGAGAGCACGGGCTGATAGAACGAGGGTCAGTGAGATAGTGGGCCGGGGCTGCCGGGCAATCTGTGTGAACAAACACACCATGAGACACATTCTTTGGCGTCTGACACTCCTCAGAGTGGAAAAACCTGTCCTGCCAGCTGAGGTGAGGCTCCCTGGAAAATGGAAAGGTGAACAAACGTCTAAATAACTCAGGCCTAGAACTCTTGGCGAGACTCTCTGGGGGATGAGGGGTGCTTAGGGAGACGTAGGTCACCGGGGGGTGGCTCAGGTCCCCCACTGCTCTGTGAGCCGCCCTGACTTCAGCTGCCTGCCTCTCAGAGCGCTATCCTCCCCTGAACCAGCATGGACCAAAGGAGGACAAGGAACATTCCAGAAGGTCTTCAAATCCCAGGTTTTTACACAGCTACTTTCAGTGTCCTTCTCTTTTTCTTTTGGCTTTTTCAAATCTGTATTAAAAATAACTTCCCAAGAGCCACGTGCTTTGCTCAAGTAGGGGCTCTTCTTGCCTTCTGGAAATAGAACTAGGAAATAGGCTGAAATAGGAAGTGCCCCTCCGGTGGGAGTGTGCTTTCTTGGAGGACCGCTGTAGGAAATCCTACAGGGAGCAGGGCCGCGTGGATGTGGGCCTCTCCGAGCGGAACTGCCAGCCCATGTTTCTAACCTGTTCCTGGAGCCCATGTCCTGCTCGAGCCTGCTGGGCCAGGTTCACACCATTGGAGCGAGGAGGGTGGGCAGGACTTTGCTTAGAAGGAGACTGTGGGGGCGCCTGGGTGGCTCAGTTGGTTAAGCGACTGCCTTCGGCTCAGGTCATGATCCTGGAATCCCGGGATCGAGTCCCACATCAGGCTCCCTGCTCAGCACGGAGTCTGCTTCTCCTTCTGACCCTTCTCCCTCTCATGCTCTCTCTCATTCTCTCTCTCGCAAATAAATAAAATCTTAAAAAAAAAAATTAAAAAAAAAAAAAAAGGAGACTGTGGTCCATAGGGCACCCCCCCCCCCCCCCGCTCCCCTCCCAGCCTGGCCTCAGAAGCAGCCCTGGACCTTCCAGGGACCGTATCCAGTATCCAATAAGGAATCCCTTACTGAGGGAGGTGAAGCAAAGAGAGGCCAAGCAGTGGCCTCGGGGGTGGGGAAAACGG